CCCAGCTACTTGTACATTTTCGAAGTCATGTAGTGTGTGCGTGTTTACAAATTGTAAAATGAAACACAGGGCATCAAAGAGAGTTCTCTATTGCTGTGTGTGGTTTTGGCATGTGCTTCAAGTTCTTTTCTGTAATGTGGGATATTTAAGAGGAAAAATCTAAGAAATGCTGACATAATGGAAAGCATTTGGGTACTAGGGTCAGCCAAACCCAAGTTCAAATATAACTCCTGCCACTAACTAGTTGTGTAAACATAAGTAGATTAGCATCTCCAAGTTTCAGTGTCTTCTATAAAACGGGGGAAAATGGCAAGGGCAGGAAGCAAGGTGGCGTGGAATAAGCATAGTCTTCAGAGACATGTGGACATGGGTTTGGACACCATCTCTGTTAATCCCTGATTGTGTGACTCTGGGTAAATAACTTCACTTCTTGGAGTACCTGCTTCTTCCTCTGAAATAAATGGGACCATAAGTGTATCGCATTCATAGAGCTTAGCTAAGCTTCAAATAAAACCATGCAGCGGGCTGGATGCAGTGGCTCATGCCTATAATCCCAGCACTTTGGGAGGCCAAGATGGGTGGATCACTGGAGTCCAGGAATTCAAGACAAGTGGGTGACATGGCTCAATCCCATCTCTACAAAAAATACCAAAATTAGCTGGGCATAGTGGCACACTCCTGTAGTCCCAGCTACTCGGGAGGCTGAGGAGGGAGGAACACTTGAGCCCTGGTGGTGGAGGTTGCAGTAAGCCGAGATCAGACCGCTGCACTCCAGCCTGGGCAACAAAGTGAGAAGAAGAAAAAAGTAATGCAGATATAGGGCTTCACATGGTGCCTGAAACATCGTAGGAGTGTAATAAGGTCAGTTTGTTTCTGCCTTGGTTTCCCCATCTGTAACTGAAGATGTTGGATTCAATGGTTCCCTGAGGCCCTCCCCAAGTTCGTGATTGTAAATGGATTTAAAAGGTCCTTGCTGAGAGTGGTGGCACACTCCTGTAGGTCCAGCTACTTGGGACAGGAGGCTAAGGCAAGAGGATCACTTGAGCCCAGGAGTTCAAGGCTACAGTGAGCTCTTGCACCATTGCACTCCAGCCTGGGCAACAGAACAAGACCCCCAACCCTAAAAAGAAAAAAATGTAAAGAAAGGCCCTGGAAGAGTTAACCTGCCTGGATTCCTTGGGGCCTTACTGCCCCTCTAAGCTTCCTGCCCCCAGGTTTTCTCAACACCATGGTGTAGAGATTGAGGTGAGGGTGCGGCAAGACACAGGCTGGGACCAGAGTTATTTGGAGCCTTGTTTTTCTTGGAGGTGCTGTGGAGGCAATGAGACTCTCCTCTCCCTCCCTCTAGGTTTGGAACTAGAATCTAGTCTCCCCGCCTTTATTTCCAAAACAGTTCCTGGCTCTAGCTGCCAGGACTCCTCTGGGGTTGCAGGAGCCTTCAAGCTCCAGCTCAGAAAATCCTTCCTCCCAGACACACACCCCTCCACCCAGTCACTGGGGACTGCCTCGAACCGGCTTTCACAGAGAGGAATTCCCTCTTTGTCCAGAGAAGCTGGTGCAAGACCTTTGGGGTCAAGAGAGCAAATCCCCCTTCCGCTTGTGGAGCCTGTGTGGCTGGGCACAGAGGTCAGAAGAGAGAGGGGAGTTGTCAGCTATGACAGATGGTTCCCTTTCTCGCCCTCTCTCTAGTCTGGCTCTGTTTTCTGCCTGTCTTCAGCTAGCTGTTTGCAGGATTCTCATCTGCCTCAAAGACTCACTTCCACTTCATTCCTCCCTCTCTCCCTACTGCAAAATGTTTGTAGACTGAAACTTTCCAAGTCATTTCCAACTTGCTTTAAAAACTCAGTTTCTATTCTGGGGGTCCCAGATGTGTTGCAGCTCGAAAATAGGGCCAACCAGTGTTCCAAGACTCTCATCAAGTAGACAAGGGAAAGAGATGGCGATTCACAGGGCCTGGGGAGTGTCTAGGCCATAGTTTCCCAAAAGCACCTGTCATTCAGTCAACATTTCCATGATGTTTGCCATATCTGCCGACCATCTCTACTATTATCTACACGACCTAAGTTGAGCAAGTGTGACATCAGAAATCCAATCAAACTGCAGCCTTGTTTTTGCCTACCCGTCCCGACTTAGAATTTAGTCAGTGAGGGGAGCTCCGCCTCCCCCTGGTTGAAGTCTCCACTCCCAGGCAACCCACACCTCAATTTCCATTAGAAAGTGAGGTTTCTTCCTGCTGCCTCAGTGAAGGTGTGAAACAGGCAAGGCCATCTGCTCCCCTTGTCAGCTCACCTCTTTCTAGGTTGAAGGGAGGGGAGGAACAGGGACGGGAGAAGGATTTCTATATGTTTCATGACTGGGGAGGGGCTAGACTGCTCTGCCTCTCTGTGCCTGACAGATATTTAAAGCTGTCTTTTCCACGGGGGCCTTTTGCAGGCTCTTTGGGAGTGACTGTATTGGGCTCTGTGATTGTAACACTGCTGCGACGTGGGCAATGAACATTTTCCTTTCTCTGCAAGTCCAGGCCTTCCCTTCAGCATCTGTGTCCAGGGTTAAAGATCCTGGAGGGGGCAGGAGGAGAGATATGGCTTGTTTCTGAGAGGAGCAGTCAGAGGCAGCTGAGTAGACAGGCTCCAAGAGCCAGGGGCCAAGCAGAGTCTGAAGGGAAAGAAGATCGAAGGCCCGAAGAAAAAATAAGTCCCAAAGGTCAATGCCTGAGCAATGCCCCAGCCGTGCAACCAGGACCACAGCTGCCGAGGATCCCTCTAATACTCAAAGGCTCTGACTGGCTAGCCACAGGCTGAGTGAGAACTATGAAGCCAACAGTGCTTTGTATCTGGAAAGAGAACAGATTGAAGTCTGAAAGGCTCAGCATCAGAGCTGGAAGGGACCCCATTCTAGTGGTTCCCAAAACAAGATCTCTGGACCACCATCAGCAGCATCGCTGGGAAACTTATTCGAAATGCGAATTGCCAAGCAGGCACGGGGCTCATGCCTGTAATCCCAGCACTTTGGGAGGCCGAGGTGGGCGAATCACCTGAAGTCGGGAATTCCAGACCATCATGGCCAACATGGTGAAACCCCATCTCTAAAATACAAAAATATTTGCTGGGTATGGTGAAACCCCATCTCTAAAAATACAAAAATATTAGCTGGGCATGGTGGTGGCACATGCCTGTAATCCCAGCTACTTGGGAGGCTGAGGCAGGAGAATCGCTTGAACTCAGAAGGCGAAGGTTGCAGTGAGCCAAGATCATGCCACTGCACTCCAGCCTAGGCAACAAGAGTGAGACTCCATCTCAAAAAAAAAAAAGAAATGCAGATTGCCCAGCTTCACCCCAGAACTAATGAATCAGAAACTCTGGGGGTAAAGCCCAATGACCTATGTGTTAACAAGCCGTCAAGGTGAGTGTGATACACACTGAATTTTAGGAACCACTGCTCCAGTCCATCCCCTGTTGTTCAGGTGAGTAAACTGAGGTGCAGAGAGGGAAAAGGATTTGCCTAAGGTCACAAAGCAGGTTACCATTTCATAGTTCATCGCCATGGCAGGAAGTCATGCCTGGAATGTTCCCCCTCCTGGTTTCATTCTTGAGAGAGAGGCTGTTGATTAGAAAGCAACGGAACTGATTTGTTGAGAGTTTAGGAACCACTGCTCCAGTCCATCCCCTGTTGTTCAGGTGAGGAAACTGAGGCCCAGAGAGGGAAAAGGATTTGCCTAAGGTCACAAAGCAGGTTACCATTTCATAGTTCATCGCCATGGCAGGAAGTCATGCCTGGAATGTTCCCCCTCCTGGTTTCATTCTTGAGAGAGAGGCTGTTGATTAGAAAGCAACGGAACTGATTTGTTGAGAGGTCTTGGGCAAGTTGCTTATTTCTGCTTTGGGTCTTAGTTTCTGCGTATGCGCAGTGCGGGCAGGGAGTATGTAGGTACCTCCGGTGCATAGCGCACTGTTCTCCAGTAGGGTTGTGCCATTGCTGCCACCAGCCTTAAGGACACCGTCTAGCCTGGGACAGGAGGGCACAGACCCTGGAACTGGACGGCCTGGTTCAAACCTTAACCCTGCCATCTATTAATCACGTGATATTGACCAGGAGCGTCCAGTCTTTTGGCTTCCTTGTGCCACACTGGAAGAAGAATTGTCTTGGGCCACACATAAAATACACTAACACTAGCGATAGGTGATGAGCTAAAAAAAAAAAAATTTGCAAAAAAAAAAAATCTCATGATGTTTTAAGAAAGTTTACAAAATTTGTGTTGGGCTGCATTCAAAGCCGTTCTGGGGCGTATGTGGCCCACAGGCCCCGGGTTGGAGAAGCGTGACGTAGACTCATTGCTCAACTTCTCTGAGCCTGCAATTCCTCCCCTGTATCTATTCTGTAAGGGCATTGTGCAGATCAAGTAATGAATGGAAAGTGCTTAGCGCACGCCTGGCACACAGGAAACGCTTGGGGGAGGAGCTGCTACCATGGCCTGCCAGGGTTGCTCAGGTGATGGTTGACCTCCACTCAATAACTGAATCCTCCAGCTCTCCTCATGTGCAACCCTGAGTCTTCTGTGAGAAGCAGATTAGTTGCAAAGTCATCTACAATTCAAGCATTTCTACCCTTATAAAGCTCTAACTTTCTATTAATGCCATATATTTGGATGAAACCATGGATCATTTCTCTCCATTCACAGCTCCTCCCAGTCGTCAGTCTCTGGGTCGTAATCCTACATCCATTTCAGCCACTCTGGAGGATGATGGTCTGATGATGAGTGCGTCACCCCCAAGACCCCTTCAAAGTATATTCTGGGTAATGACTCCATTTACCCAAATATGTCCTCAAGATATGATGACTCTGTCCACATCACATCTACTTGTATGTGATGCAGGAAAGAGCAAGAGACGGAAATCCAGTTGAGTGTATCCCACATGCCTCCTCCTCTGCATCCCCTCTAACCAGCCCCAGGTCAGGTTGGTGGCCACACTCACCTGTCACAGCTCTCTTGCTTCCCACAGGTAACCACCATGATCCCCTGGGTGCTCTTGGCCTGTGCCCTCCCCTGTGCTGCTGACCCACTGCTTGGCGCCTTTGCTCGCAGGGACTTCCGGAAAGGCTCCCCTCAACTGGTCTGCAGTCTGCCTGGCCCCCAGGGCCCACCCGGCCCTCCAGGAGCTCCGGGGCCCTCAGGAATGATGGGACGAATGGGCTTTCCTGGCAAAGATGGCCAAGATGGCCAAGATGGCGACCGGGGGGACAGCGGAGAGGAAGGTAAGAGGCCTATACCTGCCCCCCTTATTCCCACCTGGCTGACAGCATCTGGCATTGGTGTGGGGGTTGTAAGGTTAATAAAACTAGTATTAATCCTCTTCATTATAAATCAAACTGCTGTTTCCTTATAAACAGAGCAATATATATAAATATACATATTTTTTTTTCTTGAGATAGAGGCTTGCTCTATCACAAGGTTGGAGTACAGTTGTGTACTCACTGTATCTCAGCTCACTGCAACCTTTCTCCTCCCCAACCCCCAGGCTCAAGCAATTCTCCTGAGTACTTGGGACTACAGGTGCACCCCACCACACCTGGCTAATTTTTGTATTTTTTTTAGTAGAGATGGGGTTTCACCACGTCAGCCAGGCTGGTCTCAACCTCCTGACCTCAGTAGCAAAGCCCTGACGGTATTCGGCTCCTGTACTCAGCTATTCCTGGAGCTCGGCTATTGGAATCAGTTTTGTGTTTTGTTTTTGCCTTGGCCTTCCATAGTGCTGGGATTACAGGCATAAGCCCCGGCACCTGTCCTCAGAGCAGTATATTCTGAAAGGAACAATGGGTATTAAATCTTGTGCTCCTGCCCCTGGTGCACCTTTGGGTTGCTAATTGACTTTGGAAAAGTCTCCCAAAATATTACTCAGAACTCTTGATGATTGCAAGTGACAGAAACCCAATTTATAGTCCCAAATGGAATGTATTAGCTCATAAAACTGAGAGGTCAGGCCAGGCTCAGTGTCTCACACCTATAATCCCAGCACTTTGGGAGGCTGAGGTGGGTAGATCACTTGAGGCCAGGCAGTCAAGACCAACCTGGCCAACATGGCAAAACTCTGTCTCTACTAAAAATACAAAAAATTAGCCCAGTGTGCTGGTGTGTGCCTGTAATACCAGCTACTGTGGAGGCTGAGGCAGGAAAACAGCTTGAAGCCGAGAGACAGAGGTTGGAGTGAGCTGAGATCACACTGCTGTACTCCAGCCTGGGTGACAGAGTAGGACCCTGTCTCAGAAAAAAACTCAAAAAACAAAGCAGAGCTCCAGGAATAGCTGAGTCTAGGAGCTCAAATACCATTGTCAGAGCTCTGCTTCTCTCTGATTGTTGCATCCTCACAAAGGCTGGAAGTTCTGAAATAGCAACTGCTGGGTTCAGGCCCACATCTTCCTGGCTTCATCCACAGAGAAAATCTCAGAGCGGCCAATTCTTCTTGGCCACATGTGTATCCTGGACCAACTCCCTTGACCAAGGAGGTGAGGTGCTGCCATCTGCAGGACAGGCTCATGTGCCCACCCCTGCATGTGTGTGAGTCGGGGGTGAGGGCAGTCAGTCATTGTGACTGACAGCCCCACTAGGACCATATGAAATGAAATAGGGCAGCTTCCCAAAGGAAGGGATGCCAGGCAGTTGGCAAACAGAATGGATATACTCTACAGACCTTTCCGTTGTGACATTCCTTATGTCTCCAAACTCTCACCCCAGCAACCAAGCACTTTTCACTGTCAGCAGCATCCCTAAGTCTACCTTTTAAGCAGTAGAGAAATTTAATAATTTTTATTTGTATGGCATTTTAATATTGATAAAGCCCTTTTGAGTATGTTGCCCATCTGACCATCCATATTTTGTGCCAGAGGGATTCTTGTTTTCCCCATGTTACAGATGAGGATACTGAGAGTCACAGTGACTCAGTTGAGAGCAAAATGTCATCGCCTCAAGAACATGAATTTGGAAACACACCTGGACACTCATTTTGGCAAACTACTTAAACTTTCTCCAACCCATAGTGTCCTTATCTCTAAAATATGAATCATAGTAGCACCTGGCTCACAGGGTTGTAAAGATGAAATAAAACAATGTGTGAAGCACCAATCTCAGGGCAGACATGCAATAAATGTTAGACACCCTGTAATTGACTTGTTGAGCTCCCATAACTGGCAGACAGCAGACTCCAAATCCAGGCCTTTTCCTACCACACCAAACTAATTCCTTCAAAAGTGCCTCCTCCCCAGGAGATTAGTATAAAAGTAACGATCAATGCCAGGCACAGTGGCGCACTCCTGTAATCCCAGTGCTTCGGGAGGCTGAGGCAGGTGGATCACGAGGTCAGGAGTTCCAGACTAGCCTGGCCAATATGGTGAAACCCCGTCTGTACTAAAATTATAAAAATAAGCTGAGCGTGGTGGCACACGCCGATAGTCCCAGAGGCTTGGGAGGCTGAGGCAGGAGAATTGCTTGAACCCAGGAGGCGGAGATTACAGTGAGCTGAGATTGTACCACTGTACTCCAGCCTGGGCAACAGAGTGACACTCTGTCTCAAAAAAAAAAAGTAATGATCATACCTTTGACTGGGGGAGGTCAGCCAGCATGCTGGGCACTGGTGTCACAGTATCCAATTTCCTGACCACAAGGGTATACTCAGTTCTGGACATGTGCTCCAAGCAAGCCAGCTAGAGTTTCCCCCGAAATTTGCCTATGGATCCTGAGGGACAGAGTCTCTGCTGTTGACTTTTCCCGCAATAGATAAAGCTTACCAGGAAGTTCTGCCGTGTATCGGGGCTGCCTTTGGTCATCTCTTCTGCTATGTGTTGAGTCTGCAGAGAACGAAACCGCCACACCAAGGAAGACAGTGTCGGGAGAGTCCCAGCACATATAACCCAGACAAAGCTTGTCACCCTGGAGCCAATTCAGGATAACATCCGACCACCCACACATCACCACACACACAAATCCACCTCCAGAAAGGTCTTCAGGAGTAAAGCCAGCTTTTCCTGAAGTTTCTCAAAAAAAGATAATGAAGAGGGAACCGCATTACATAATACATGGTAGAACTTCCTGGTAAGCTTTCTCATCTATTTGTCTCCCACCAAAAACCCCAATTCAGAATGACTTGGGGGTGGTGTGGTGGCTCATGCCTGTAATTTCAGCACTTTGGGAGGATGAGGCAAGAGGATTAGGAGGCCAGGAGTTCGAAACTGGCCTGGGCAACATAGGAAGATCCATGCCTCTACAAAAACTTTTAGAATTAAGCAAGCCTGCTGGGGTGTACCTGTAGTCTCAGCTACTCAGGAGGCTGAGGCAGGAGGATTCCTCAAGCCCAAGAGTTTGCGGTTACAGTGAGCTATGACTGGGCCATTGCACTCCAGCCTGGGCAACAGGGTGAGACTCTGTCTCTAAAAAAAAAAAAAAAAAAGATTCTGTCTCTCCTCTTCTCTTGGCCGTTTTTCCCACCTTTTGTTCATTTTCATTTTTTCAAGGAATAGCTTTGTGACTTTTTCTAGTTTTATTTTTTCCCATTCTTTTTATTTATTTTTAATTATATGAGTAATATACAAATAAAGTCTCATTGTAATATATTCAAACAATACACATAAAACAAAAGTCCTCCTTAATTACTACCCCTTTTTCTCCCCTCACCCTTCAGATGTAACCACTATTAATTAATTGGTTAGGTGTGTATCTTTCCTGGCGTTTTTATGTGTGTTTAATAATACCAGGCACTGCCAGGCGCCTAACATAAGCACTCTGTTCCTGAAAATAAGTCTTCCATAAGAAAATGCAATTTGGAAACCCATTTCTGAATTATGTAAAATAGGAAAAATTTAGATTCATTACAGATTAACTCAAAACTCTAAAACACAGTGAAATGCCGACATACATACATATAAGAAACAGCCGGGCGCAGTGGCTCACGCCTGTAATCCCAGCACTTTGGGAGGCCGAGGCGGGTGGATCACGAGGTCAAGAGATCGAGACCATCCTGGTCAACATGGTGAAACCCCGTCTCTACTAAAAATACAAAAAATTAGCTGGGCATGATGGCGCATGCCTGTAATTCCAGCTACTCAGGAGGCTGAGGCAGGAGAATTGCCTGAACCCAGGAGGTGGAGGCTGCGGTGAGCCGAGATCACGCCATTGCACTCCAGCCTGGGTAAACAAGAGCGAAACTCTGTCTCAAAAAAAAAAAAAAAAAGTACCTTGCTAGGATGTAAAATGCCTAAACATTCTTCCTTGATCACTCAGTTCATATGGTTGTAACAACCTTGTGTCAAGTGAACTCAAATTGTTACCCATATAGGTTTTGTTTAAAATGTTGTATTAAGGGGACATAAATTGATTTTATACAATCAATAGCCAAAAATGTTGTTTTGAAAGAAATGTTTATTTTATGAAATATGAGTATGAAACACCAAAAAGTCTTCCAAAGGAAAATACAACTGGGGGAGTTGTTCTGCAGGGAATGCCAGCTAGAATTCAGGGAATGTTTGCTATAGGCCAGACGTTTAAATGGGCGTAGAAATATTTAGCATTGTGGATTCCTTTTGTTTTTCTAATTCTTATTTTTTAGAGCAAGGTCTCACTCTGTTGCCCAGGCTGGAAAACAGTGACACAATCATAGCTCACTGTAACCTGGAACTCATGGGCTCAAGGGATCCTCTAACCTCAGCTTCCCAGGTAGATAGGGCTACAGGCACATGCCATCATGCCTGACTAATTTTGGTATTTTTTGTAAAGACAGTGTCACACTACATTTCCCAGTCTTAAACTCCTGGTCTCAAGTGATTCTCCAGCCCTGGCTTTCCAAAATGCTAGAATTACAGACATGAGCCACCATGCCCAGCCTGGCTGCCTTTTAACATAAAGGTTTGGCCACCTGCTCTTTCCTCTTAGTGTACTTTAGAGAAGGTTTCATAGAGCACACATAACTCTCCTTTTTATTTTAAGTCCTGCATAGAAATCCACAGTATGGATGAACCATAATTCTTTTTTGTATAATTTTCCTTTGGTTAGGCATTTAGATTTTTCTATTTTTTGCTATTATAAGCAATGCCACAATAAAATCCTTGTACTCGCGGGCAGGGCTCGCATGCACTAGGCAGGGATTTTACTAAGGTCAGCGTGTTGAAGTCAAGAGGCTTTTTCCAGTTCTCAACCCATTACCAGCACAGCCCATGGAAGGATTGATCTGGCAGACAGACCAGACCCTCGGAAAACAGGAGAAGGAAAGGGTGTGAACTGTTATAAGTTATTTTTTTTGCCCTGATACACGGTGATTCTTGAAGGTCAGTATTTCTATTTTCCTCATAGCTAGCATTAGGATTTACACCGACTTCTGTGTGTCTCCAGAGCAGTTTTGTTCTTCCCATTACCCAAGCACTCCTTCTCCGGGGATGGAAAGGCAAGGCACACACCTCTGCCTCGGTCTGTGACAATCCTCCATAACACCAGCTGCTCTGTCTTCCAGGTCCACCTGGCCGGACAGGTAACCGGGGAAAGCCGGGACCAAAGGGCAAAGCTGGGGCCATTGGGCGGGCTGGCCCTCGTGGCCCCAAGGGGGTCAGTGGTACCCCCGGGAAGCATGGCACACCAGGCAAGAAGGGGCCCAAGGGCAAGAAGGGGGAGCCAGGCCTCCCAGGCCCATGCAGCTGCGGCAGTGGCCACACCAAGTCGGCTTTCTCGGTGGCGGTGACCAAGAGCTACCCACGGGAGCGGCTGCCCATCAAGTTTGACAAGATTCTGATGAACGAGGGTGGCCACTACAATGCTTCCAGTGGCAAGTTCGTCTGCAGCGTGCCTGGGATCTACTATTTCACCTATGACATCACGCTGGCCAACAAGCACCTGGCCATCGGCCTGGTGCACAACGGCCAGTACCGCATCCGGACCTTTGATGCCAATACCGGCAACCACGATGTGGCCTCGGGCTCCACCATCCTGGCTCTCAAGCAGGGTGACGAAGTCTGGCTACAGATCTTCTACTCAGAGCAGAATGGGCTCTTCTACGACCCTTACTGGACAGATAGCCTCTTCACAGGCTTCCTCATCTACGCCGACCAGGATGACCCCAATGAGGTATAGACACACCAGGACCGTCCTCCAGGCAGGGAACAAGCTTCTGGACTTGGACCTAACAGAGTGAGACCCCTCAACTGTAGGCTGGGGGGCAGGGTGTCGAGTGAGCGGTTCTAGCCTCAAGCTGACCTCCTCTCCCTCTTTTATTCCCCATCATTAAATCCAAACCTTCTTATTCATCCAACCATCTACTTACTCACTTCTTTTTAGAGTATCTCCTGCATAACAGGCACTATGTTCTTCTCTGAAAGACAGAGCAGTGGACAAGACAGAGTATCTGTCCTCATGGGGCTTACATTCTAGCAGGAGACACAATTTACAAATAAACAAGCAAATAATATTATGCCAGCACAGACATGAACACGCCATGGTTGAGAGTAACAGGAGACAGGGAAGAGGTGGACATTTGTGGGTTTTTTGGGGTTTTTAGATTTTGACTTTTTAGGTTTACTTACATACAGTGACTCACCAAATTTTAAGTTGACAGCTCAGTGAGTAATTTTTACTTATGTGCTCACCTTCGAACTTCCATGTAGATCAAGGAACAAACAATTTCCAGCCTCTCACCTCCCTTCCCCGAAGACTCTCTTAAGACCCCTCTAAGTCAGTACCTGGGGAAGTTCCGTTTTTGAGCTGAGTTCGCAAGAAGATAGAGGTGTTGCAAAGGTGTTGGAAAAGAGGTCTCCCAGTAAGTGCAAAGACCTTGACAGGAGAGAGGGAGAGGCCAAGGTCAGAACTGAGAAGGGAGGAATGAGGCGTGAGGCTGGAGGGTAATACAGAACCTCCCAGACCTTGGCAGAGCTCACTCCGTTTACAAAGGCTTATCAGAATGCAAAGTGAACGTAACCCTGATAAGCAGATCATCTTGAATCTGCTCAATGCTTGAGTCAAATCGGCCACAGATTTGAGCACTTTATTATTAGTTAATCTTTTGCAGGCCCGCTTCTCAATGAATGAGATACACCAGGATATGCACACGTGCCTGAAAACCGCTGCTCCAAGATGGCAGGAATGGATTCCACCCAAATGAATCTCACCCCAAGCCCCGTTGTTTCCAGTATGCAGGGATCTGAGGGCTTAAGAAGCCACAGTAAAATTGGCAGGTGCTGACCGGGCGTAGTGGCTCATGCCTGTAATCCTAGCACCTTGGAGGCTGAGGCGGGCCAATCATTTGAGGTCAGGAACTCAAGACCAGCCTGGCCAACGTGACAAAACCTCATCTCTACTAAAAAATATACAAAAATTAGCCAAGCGTGGTGGTGCATGCCTGTAATCCCAGCTACTGGAGAGGCTGAGGCGGGAGAATCACTTGAACGCGGGAGGCGGAGGTTGCAGTTAGCTGAGATCATGCCACTGCACTCCAGCCTGGATGACAGAGTAAGACTCTGTCTCAAGAAAAAAAAAAAAAGGCAGTTACTCAGAGAGCCCCACGGAAAGATTGCTGGAGAGAATTTTCGGTTGGCGCTGCAGCTCCCTAGCAGTTTTCTCTGGCTACTCCCAGAGATCCTCAGGGACAGGTAATGCCGCACGGGATGGTTCCGGAAGGAGTGGTCATCTCCAGAAATAAAATGGGATTTATTTAAAATAACTCCACTCTCTCTGGGCCATAAATGGTTTGAGATTGGGGTGGGTCTGAAAAATTCAGGAAGGGCTTTGTGGCCCAATCAGATCGATGTGTGGGTTGGGGTCCCCTGCAGCACTCCTGTGAGAAGGGGTCAGCTTTGGTCAGTGAACAATTTTTTTTTCTTTTCTTTTCTTTTTTTTTTTAACAAAAATAAATTTTAGGAGTGCCTTTAGCTACTTCCTCTTCCTTTCCCCAAGGATATAGGCATTTGAAGGCATTTGACTTAACCCTTTGTAGCCTTTCTAATAAACTCAAACTCAGCAAGATGGGCTGGACCCCAGAGCTCTGTGGTTGCCACTTTTGGGCCCATATTGAACCAATGTCCCCTTGGCATATACCAGAGGCTCTTCAGGGAGAGTGTGGGAATGGTGGGGGAAAACTCGACACTCTTTTGTAGAGAGAGGGTGGGGCAGATGATGGCAGAGACCTTCCAGGTCTCAGGGCTCAAGGCTGGGGTCTTGTCTTCCTTGGATGTGGTCTAGGGTTGCTGCAGTTAGTGGGTTTGTGGCAGGTGGGGCCGAAGCGGGTGATGCAGTTGAGTGGGGTCTCTGGTAACTAGTGATGTCAAGGATGAGTGCTCCTTTATCCCCTGACACTTGGAAGATGGCTGCCTCCTCGGTGAGCCACTTGGAGGTCTCAGGCTGACAATGCAGGATGGTGGCCTGGATGAGGAAGGGGCTCCAAGGCAGTGGCCTTCCCAGATGCACTGGGGCCCCAGCCCTTCTTCCTCGCTACAGCTGATTCATGGGCTTCAGCAACCAGGGCCTATCTGTAGGTCTCCATGTTTGTAAGCACCACAGAACCCAGTGCATCTTCATACACACAAATCACCCTTGATTCAGAGGTCTTTTCTTATTCAGGACACACTTTGAAAGGCAGCCATTCCCCTTCTGGAGAAATCTGCAGCTCCCATTATTACAGTGCAAAGAGCACCAGACCCACAAGGCCCACCAGGCCAGCCCCATCCTGGGTGGAGCCTCAGGGTTCACCTGTCAAATGATGGGAGTTGCACTCCATATATCTAGGGGGACTTCGTGGGCTGACTTCTGCATCAGGACTATGATGAGGGTGGGGGAGGGCAATTGAGGCACTCACCTCATGCACAAAATGTAAGAGGGTGACAGAAACCTCAGTAATCAATATAATTTTTTTTTTGAGACAGGGTCTCGTTCTGTCACTGAGGCTGGAGTGCAGTGACATGATCATGGCTCACTGCAGCCTCCACCTCCTGGGCTCAAGCAATCCTCCCACTTCAGCCACCTGAGAATCTGGAACTACAGGCCTGTGCCACCACACGTGACTAATTTTTAAATTATTTGTAGAAACGAGAGTCTTGCTATGTTGCCAAGACTGTTCTCTAACTCCTGGCCTCAAGTGATCCTCCCACCTCAGCCCCCCAAAGTGCTGGGATTACAGGTATGAGCTAGCGCACCTGGCAGAAACAATTTTTTTTAGATGGAGTCTTGCTCTGTCACCCAGGCTGAAGTGCAGTGGCACAATCTCAATTGACTGCAACCTCCGCCTCCCTGGTTCAAACAATTCTTGTGCTCAGCCTCCTGAGCTCATCCACTACCACATCTGGCTAATGTTTTTTTTTTGTTTTTTTTTTTGTATATTTAGTAGAGACGGATTTTCACCATGTTGGCCATGCTGGTCTCAAACTCCTGACCTCAAATGATCTGCCTGCCTGACCTCCCAAAGTTTTGGGATTATAGGCATGAGCCACTGCCCCGGCCAGAAATAATATTTTAATACAATATTTTAATAAATCAGAATTAACCCAAAAAGCTCTATGATAAACAAAATATCAAAATGTTGAGTGAAGATGAGATCTGACAGGGCTGGGATCAGGGTGAGGTGAGGGAGGGCGAGTCATGCAAGAGCAGCTCGGGAGCCCTGGGCAGTCAGGCCTTACAGGTGGAAAAGCTTCCCGCCCCCCGCCTGTCATCTTCACTTTTGCCACTAGAGGGAGACCGTCTACTACACAAACCTCCAGGTCTGCGGCGTGGAGGCTGGGAGATCCACCCTGCCCTCTTAGGCTGTTTTCTAGATTCCTTCCCACAAAGCGGGTTCTTGTCCAGTCCACTGGTCTATTTCAACTCAGCAGACATGATCCGAGTATTCACTGAGGCAAGGCTGGAGAATGCACCTGGGGTCTCCAAGCCAGGTGGGCAGTTAGATCTATTTGGCACCACAACCTCATGCAGCAGCAGAACCTCCTGTGGGGACAGCTGCCTCGCGCTTTCATAAAATCTCCTCAGCTGATTCTAACCCACATTCTAACCCAGCTTTGCCAAGCCCTGGGCCAGGCTGAGGAGAAAACTAACACAGGAAATACTCCCGTTCTGCCCTTCAAAGGAGGACATTGTGTGTGCCTCCCCTGTTCTGGTGTCACTTCCACGGTTGTCCTCAGGCCAGGGTGGCATTAGAGCATGGAGCTGAGTGTGCGTTTGAAGGTCACCTCACAAGCCCAGCTCCTCAGCCACAGCATCTGAGGGTGCTCCCAGCCACCTCTGTGGCTTCTCCAACATTCCTCTCTCCCTGGTCCAGAGACAGAGACCCAAAAAGAATTTCTCAGAAAGAGGCTGGGCGTGGTGGCTCATGCCTGTAATCCCAGTACTTTGGGAGGCCAAGGCGGGCGGATCACTTGAGGTCAGGAGTTCAAGACCAGCCTCGCTAACATGGTGAAAACCCCGTCTCTACTAAAAATACAACAACAACAACAACAAAAAAAATTAGCCAGGTGTGATGGCAGGTTCCTGTAATCCCAGCTACTCAAGAGGCTAAGACATGAGAATCACTTGAACCTGGGAGGCAGAATTTAAGGTGAGCCAAGATCTTGCCACTGCACTCCAGCCTGGGCAACAGAGTGAGACTCTGTTTCAAAAAAAAAATTCTCAGAAAGAGCCTAAAGAGGGCTCCAGAAAATGGTGGGTTTTCTTGTTGTCACCGACTTTATATTTTTGCCTCAGATTGGCCCTGAGTTAAAAACAGGAATGAAGAGTTCAACTTCGTCACTGGCATTTGTTTTTGCCGAGGCCCTTGCAAACTTCCAACACTCATTTATCTCCACCCCAAGTGGTTTTCAAGCTGATGCTGACAGCCATTCGAAATGACTTTCTCGTGTGAAATGTCCATATTCTTTCTATTTGGGGCTCACTTATCCCATAAAACACATTTAATGTGTGACCTTCATGACATGGAGATCAAGGGCCTCAGAGGTGGAAGGCTAACTGGGCATTAATTCTGAAACACATCACAGCTCCCAGTCACTTGGCAGAACTGTATGAGAAAATCACTTGGAAAATCTCCTTATTCCCTAGTGTTGAGCCTGGTTCTAGGCGCCCTACAACCTGAACCCGAGGAGGGTGCAGAGGGTCTATAGGTGCACCTGCCATAAGGAGTGGTGGCTGTTCAGCCTTGAGAAGACTGGGAGTCCTGAAGGCTCCCACCCACCCCTAAAAGGTGGTCTTGGGGTAGAAGTGCTGACTGCTTTGAAGAGCTACAGAGGGCAGAACTTAAACTGCTGGTGTACTTTATCAAGAAGCCAATTGGAGCCA